GGGTGGTGGCCGCAGGGCTGGTGACACTGTCCGGGGTGGTGGCCGCAGGGCTGGTGACACTGGCCACGGAGGTGGTGGCCGCAGGGCTGCTGGCTGTCCCCGTGGGCTGTGGCCGTCCCCCCTGCAGGCCGATGCCCAGCTCACAGTCCAGCTCCCTCTGGAATTGTTTCTGCACCCAGCTCAGCACCGCGGGCTCCTGCTCCGCTTCCTTCAGCTTGGCGAGGTTTTCCCCCAGCAAATGTTTCACATCAGCCACGCTGAGTTTCTGCAGCACAAACACAAACACAGCCCAGCCCCTTCCTTCACCCTCACTGCCCCAAATTCTTTGCTAACGGGGCAGCAGAGCAACTGAAACTTCCTAAAGAAAATGGGTAAAGGTGAGAAAGTGGAGAATTGGGGATTTGCTTGGGCTCTGACCTCACAGCCCTCAGCCAGCCCTGCCCTTCCCTGGGCAGGGGAACAGCAGCCCCAGGGCTGTACCTGCAATTCCTCGGGGTTCAGGGCGAGGAACGTCTCCAGATCCATGTTTATGGCCACACCAGCATTAGCCAAGTCCTTCAGATCCTCTGCTGGAGCTCCACCTTCAAGAGAGCACAGGGGACACCCGGAGCTGTGCAAACCCTTCCAGATGCCAGAGCTGCGTGGGGCTGAGAGGGGGAGGCTGGAGGGGAAGCACCTACCCAGGTAGGGCTGGATCCAGCAGTAATGGGAGCTGGGGGAGCTGCCCAAAGCCTCCTTGGCTTTCCCATAGAGCTGCTCCTTCTTGCTTTGGGAGCACGTGGAGATGTTCAACGGCCCGGCAGTCCTGGAAGGGGGGTACAGGTCAGCAGAACCCCAAAGTTCAGAGAAATTGTTCTGGAGGGATGGGTGAGATGTTCCTGCTCGTGGTTCTGGGGCTCAGGTGGGATTTGGGATCAGGACACGGGGATCCCATTGCGCTGATTGGGAATGGGGAGATCCACAACAGAGCTGGGGGTCTTCCATCCTCCCGGGGATCCCCCTCACCTTCCATCTCCCCCCCAGCCACCTCCCCACAGCCCTGGGGGCTCTCAGGGCTGAGCAGCATCCCCAAAAATCCCCTCACCTGATGGCCGCAGGGGGGATCTGCTGGATCTGCTCCTCCTGCAGCTTGCACAGGGTTTTGCCTCCCATTTCCTGCAGCAGGGGCCCGGTCAGGGATCCCCCCAGGGCCAGGTACCTGCTGAGCAGCTGCTGCACCTGGGGGACACGTGGGGGACACGGGCAGGGAAGGGAGATGCTCTTGGTAAGGATGACAGTGCTGCCAAACACCCTCCCCCCAAAAAAAACCCCAAACCCACAACGCCTCCACCCTGAGCTGGGCTCAGGAACAAACCCCCCACCCCAAAAAAAAATCCCCACGATGCCTCCACCCTGAGCTGGGCTCAGAAACAGCCCCAAATTCGGGTTCTTCATCACCCAACCCCTTCTGCTGCCATGGCTTTACCTGGGCATCGTGCCACTCTCCTCCCGAGGGCCTGAGCAGGGCTGCCAGCGTGTCACTGGATGTCACCGGCCACCGGCTGATCTCCTGCTCCGTGTACAGCCGGGACAGCAGCCCCAGGTGCCTCAGCTGCTCCTCGGGGATCCCCTCGGGGAAAAACTGAGGGGTGGGAAAGAGGGTGAGGGAAAGGAAAACAAGGGATCGGTGCAAAGGAACCACTCAGGTCTGTTGGAGACAGCAAAGCAGGAGTTTCTCCGAATTCTTCAGAGAGAAATCAGAGTGCAGGGAGTGAATTAAAACATTTGGATGGGTTGAAGTGTGTTAAGTCACTCGCACATAAATCAGAGGTGAAAGTTTAAGGTTTTTAAGTCACTCAGATATAAGTCAGAGGTGAAATTTAACTTTTAGCATGAGTAAGTAAGCAAGTAAGTAAATGAAATGAATAAGTAGATAGAATAAGTAAGTGAATAAATGAAATGAGTGAGTAAATGGAGTAAGTAAAATAGGTTTTAGTACTTTTAGTAGGTAAAAATTTTAGATACCAGTGTAGAAGTTCGAGTTCTAGTGCAAATTGAAAAACATAGTTTTAAATACTATGTATTTATGTACCTATGTATTTAAATACAATACATTTATGTACATATGTATTTAAATACTATGTATTTATGAACAAATGTATTAAAATACTATGTATTTATGTACATATGTATTAAAATACTATGTATTTATGTACATATGTATGTTAATACAATGTATTAAATATTTCAATTTAAATACTACGTATTTATGTATGTAGTATTTCCATAGAAGCTCCGAGAACCTGGTTTCAAACATAATCAAGTTATAGTAAAAATATTGCTTACGTTTTTTCAATGAAAACAAGATAAACCATATGCACAGTTTATACAGAGCCTGGTGTGCTAAAAAACGAAAATGTTTTTAGTTTTTGTTAACTAATAAGTTAAAAAATAGTAGTCCGGATTCCAAAAAACTAAAATTCTAATAAGTTAAAAAATAGTAGTCCGAATTTGCATCTTAGCTTGTCCAGAAGTTTCTATATAAAAACATGTATTAAGGAAAACTGGTACTTTAATGCCATTGCTTTTACCACTCGTTTTTTATGCCATGTACTTTTACCATTGCTTTGCTTTACTTTTACCTTCAATATACTTCTACAATAAACACCTTGATAGCAACTATGAGCTACTTAGCTCATTAAAAAAAAACCCAAAAACAACCCAACAAATTAGGAGCCTAAAAGCACCTAAACCACCTAAACCTCACGCAGGCACCTCCATCCCTGTTCCCAGAGCGTGTCCTGCCCATCCCAGCTCTGCCCAGGCACCCCTTACCTCATCCACCTTTTTTTTCAGGATTTGGGACATCTGGGAGGTGATTGGCAGATCCAGCACAGCCTGCAGGTTTTTTATGAGCACATCATTGCTCAGGCACGGGTCCAGCTGCTCAATGGTGAGGAACAGGATGTCGTCGATGTTGCTGGCGGTGATGGGCTCGGACAGGCAGCCTGAGGGCAAAGGATTGTGCCAGGCGGAGGGTGTGTGTCCCTTGTGTCCCCCGTGTCCCCTGTGTCCCCTTCCCACCCCGCCCTGCTCCTGCCACAGTGCTCAGAGCCCCGGTGAAGGACAGGGAATCACAAAAACGTGGCTCAAGGCACCCTGGAGGTGCCTCCTTTGCTGTCATTCCCTAAAATCATTCCTGAACAATCTGGTGACGCTCTGCAACCCACTCGTGCTTTGTTCCGTTCCGTGTCCCCTACAGGAGCATCCTCTGTCCCTGCAGTGTCCTGTCCTGGGGACTGTCCCCCTGTCCCAGCTCCTCCCGGAGTGCTGCCACCACATCCCGGGTAAGAACAAATCCCTCCTGTGCCTCAGGGACATTTCCCAGTTTATGGGAATCCCAGATTTCTGCCTGGTGCCAACCAGCCCCGGGGCATTTTCCCCTGGCAGAGCTCGGGAAGGGAAGGTTTGGGAAGGTTTGGGAAGGGAATCTCACGGTCCGTGCTGCGCTTCAGCCTGGGACGGGAGGCAGCGGCTGCCCCGAGGAGGAGCAGGGATTTGTCCCGCTGGGAATGGCTCTGGGTGATGGAGGCGGCTGCGATGCTGCTCCTGAAATCCTCCCGGACTGCCTGCGGGGCACAGGGGGCTGGCACCGGGGGACAGGGACAGAGGGTGCTGGGACTGAGAGGGGGGACAGGGACAGGGGGTGCTGGGTCCAGAGGGGACACGGGGACAGAGGGTGCTGGGACTGGGGGAGAACAGCGATAGAGGGTGGTGGGACTGAGAGGGGACACAGGGACAGAGGGTGCTGGAACCGGGGAGGACACAGGAACAGAAATAGAAAGTGCTGGGGCTGGGAGGGGACACAGGAACAGGAATAGAAAGTGCTGGGACTGGGTAGGGACACAGGGTGCTGGGACCGGGGGGAACAGAGACAGAGGGTTCTGGGACTGGGAAAAGACACAGGAACAGGGATAGAAAGTGCTGGGACTGGGACGGGACACAGGGACAGGGCCAGAAGGTGCTGGCACAGGATCCTGGGTCCCCCAGCCTCGGAGCTGACCTGCCTGATGGTCACCTCCCCCCTTACCTCGGCCACCAAACTCAGCGTGGTCTGGTTCAACGCCAGCACGAGCGGCCCCAAATCTTGTAGGGTCTGTAAATCCCAGCTCGAAGGATCCCTGCAGCAGCAGCAGCAGAAGGAGCAGCTCAGCATCCCCGTGGATCCCCCCCACCCCTCCAGGCGCAGGAGAGCTCCTCACCCGTACTCTGTGTGCCCCGAGAGGAGCAGGGCATTAAGGGCATCCTGCTGTGCCCCTGTCAGCGCCGGGCAGAGCTTCAGCTTCTCCAGGATTTTGGGATCTGAGATCGCGATGGTGCTCGGCTCCAGGTCACACAGCAGCACCTCGAGCCTGAAAATGTCCCCTAAAATCAGCCCAGGTCACACAGCAGCACCCCAATCCTGTACAGGTGGGGTGTCATGCCCTAAAATCAGTGCCAGGGTGCTGCCATCCCCACGGCCGGCTGGGTGCCCCCCATACCCCGGGATTTGGGAGCATCCCCTGGGTTTCAGCCGGGCCGAGGCTCCCGCTGCAGCCGCGGGGAGGAAGGAGAATTCCCGGAGTGTTTGTGTTTCTGCAGAAGCCCAGCCCAGCACGGAACCGGCTGCACAGGGCTGTAAATTCTCCTCACCCTAAATTCTCCTCACCCCCATGACCCAGCACAGCAGCAGATGTGGGATAAATAGAAATTCACCCCCCGCCCCCGGGACCCCCAGAACCCCACCGGGGCTGGAACTTACTGGGGATGCTCAGCCTTGGACAGGACGGCTCCAAAAATCAGGGCAGCCTGGGGAGAGGATGGAGGATGCTCAACCCCGGTGGGGAAAGGGAAAAATGGGATTTGAGATGCAGGGAATGGGAGCAGGAACTCCAAGGGAACAGCCTGGAGCTGCAGCAGCCCCTGGGTTCTTCGTGGGGACAAAAATCATCGCAGCCACTCGTGGGGACATTTGGGTGGGTCTGTCCCTGCCTGCCTGGAGCTGGGTTTGGAGGTGAGGGAGGGGACAAGGACAAGGCCACGTTCTGCTCAGGGGGACAGCGGGGAGCTGGTGGCCGAGCACTTTGGGGAATTTTGGGAAAGCCCTGGCACGGTGGGAGCCGGCAGAACCGGCAGGGACTCACCACTGTGGCTTTCACCAGGTCTGTGGAGACACCTGCAAGGAAACAGGAGCAGGTTAGGAAACACCCATGGACTATGAACAGCTTGTTCCAAGCCTTAGTCCCAGGTTTAAAAGCTGGGAAGAGCCTTCCCTTTGCTAATTTAATCTATAATAATAATAATAACATAATATTATAATATATTATTATTTAATATAATATTTAGGAAATGCTGTGGATCACTATGAAGAGATCCGAGCACCCTCAGCTCCCTCCAGGAGGGTGTGGAAGACAAAAAGGGATAAATCCATAAATCCATCCCTGGAAACCTGGGGAGATCTCCTGGGAAAAGCCCGAGGATGCTGAGGGGAGCAGGAGGAGGAGCCCTGGGAGAGGGATTGGGATGAGGAGCATCCCTGGTGCCAGGGGCTGCCTGGGGGTCCCGGGGCAGTTTTTGGGGACAGGGTGACACTCACGGAGGCAGAGGGTGGCAGCTGCCAGGGCTGGCACTGCCCACACCATGATGGGATTCATCCTTGGAGCAGGTCCAGAGGGCTGTGTCCCACACTTGGAATTGCTGGAAGGTGCTGGAGGTGCTGGGGTTAATTCTGTCACTCTGGGGCTGGAGCTGTGGGGTCAGGGGTCTCACTGTGCCCACCCCATGTCTGTGATGCTGTACAGACGCCCTGTGACCACGGCAGAGATTTATAATCATATAAAATAGAAAACAGGACTTTTCCTACCCGATATTAAAGGAAACTCCACAATTCTCCTGCCGGGATAGGGTCTCCCTCCATCCCCCAGTTCCTCACCAGTACAGACTGGGAGAAATCCAGTGTAAGGCTCAGCAGGTGTTTCCCATCCCTCCCCACCCCTCAGGTGTGATAGAAACCCTGCTAGAAAATCAATCCCTGCTCCTGCAATTCCCTCGGGGCTGCCCACAGCAACCCGTTATGGCCAGGTAAAGAATTTCCCCCCCTAAATCTCTTTTTTTTTCCCCCCAAATTTTACCGTGGCTGTGCTCAGCCGTTCTCCTCCTCCTCGTGCAGGGGGATTTGGCTCCGGGATGGGAAGGTTTGGCCAGGAAGGAGCTGCATGGGCTGGGCTGGCCAGGACAGCTCGGCACTTTATCTGTGCGGGGTGGGGATGCTGCTGCTCCGCACTCGGGGTGTGACCGCGCAATTTCTCAACTTTATTTTTTCACGCTCCTTTCCTTCTCGCCGGTTTTGCTTTGGGGTTGTTTCCTATTTGTCGGTAAAGGGTCACTCCTTGAGCTCTGGGTTCAGCTGAACCCTAAAGGAAGCCAGAAGGAGTTCAAGGCTCTGCTTTGGGAGTTTCTGTGCTCCTGAGTGGGATCAAGGTGAGGGGAAAGCCTGTAGAGCTGCTCAGGGGTTTGTGTTATAGGGCAGCTGGGGTGCAGAACAGACTGAGCTCAGTGATGGGCTCAGCACCCTCTGTTTCCCCTGTGCCTCTCCTTTTTCCCTGGATCACAGCCAATCCCATTCCCTTTTTTTTTCCCCCTCCACTCCAAAACGTTCTGCACGTGCCCCAAAGGAACCAAACCCTTCCCGAGGCCCTGAGGTGACAGCCTGGAGGAGCTGCGAGCACAAACATTATCTGAGCCTTTATCCCGGGAAAAGGGAAGGGAGGCTGGGCTGGAGCAGGGCTGGGACCCCCCTCAGGGCCAGGTTTGGGGGTCCCAGCCTTCACTGAGAGTCCCTAAAATGCTGGCACGGTGCCAAGAGGGATTTGCCACCTCCCAGCCATGTCCTGTCCCCCAACCGGTTGTGCAGCCTCAGGGCTGAGTGGATGCCCGTGGGTGGGGCTGGTTGCTATTTTGGAAGGATTTACTGTAAAAACAGCTCTTGTTAGAGTGGTAAAATGACAGAAACTCGTTTGCTATGAGGCTGCTGCAGGGACAGCCCCTGCCCCGGGCTGGCTGGACAGAGGTGGCTGCGGCAGGAGGGCAGGGACACTTCAGGGCCACTCTGGGGGTCACCGTGTCCCTGTGGAGATCAAAGCTGGTCCTGAAACCCCCTCCAGGAGCTGCCACAGGAGGATCCACCCTGAACTTGAACATGTGGAGCAACATCTGCCCCAGGCTGTTCCTGGGGACATTCCCAGGCCAGCTGTGAGCTCTGACTGCAGCTCCCTGTGCCAGCAGGGCTGGGAACGCTCCTCTCCCTTAAGCAGCTGCTCTCTGCCCATGTCGGGTTGTTCATCATCTTAAAAGAAATCTCCCAGTCTTAAAGACTGCAATAATTCCTTGGGTCTTCAATCAGTTTTTCCTCTGCTCACACAGCAATTCTGAGGCTCCCACACCATTCCTGGGGAATCTCCCACCCCAATCCCGGGGCTCTCACCCCAATCCTGGAGAATCTCACACCAATCCTGCCCCTCTCTCACCAATCCCGGGGCTCTCCCACCCCAATCCTGAGGCTCCCACCCCAATCCTGCCTCTCTCAGAACAGGTTGCCCGGGTTGGAGCCCCGGGGCCGCTCCCTCGGGGCCGGTCCGGTTCCATTCCTGAAAAGCCCCGGGAGAACGGGAATGGATCCAAAAAGTGGAGAGTGAAGGGCAGAGACACATTTAATACAGCAAATACAGCGAAACTGCAACTGAGGAGTGTAGGGCACCAGAGGAGCCACAGCCCCGCGGGCAGGAGGGGACAGGAGGGGACACGGCGCAGCCGGGAAGGGCTCCTGGAAATCTTCCCTCTGCAGGGTAAGGAAAATTCCTTTTTATCTGCTGGGGAAAAGCAGCACGGAAAGGCTGGGGTGGGGTGTGGGGGCTCCTCGATGCAAACACTGCGTGCTGGGGGTGCCAGCCCCATCCGTGTCCCCGTGTCGCCACCCTCATTCCCTCCCTCGGCGGGGAGGGCCGAGTCCCCTCTGGGACGTGCCGATCTCCGCTGGCCTTTCCAGCACCTCCCGTCTCTCACATCTTCAGCAAACGGGTTCGCTCTCAGCTGCGGGACCTGCCCGGCCTCTCCCGGCCGTTCCTGGCCATGGGATGGGGCCTGGCAGGAGGGACAAGGGGCTCCTGCTCCTCCAGCCCCACCCCGAGCCCCCTGGCACCAGCCCAGAGCCCACGGTGGTGGCACCGAGCCACAAAAGGAAGGGACACACAGGACAGGAGATCCAATTCCCCCCAGCCCGGGGATTTTGGTGATTTGCAAGGTGTGTTTATCCACAAGGAGACGGCTGTGACTTTTTATTCCTCCCCAGGGAGGGAGTATCAGCTGTGTGAGCCCCGTCAGGGGAGTTTTCAATGGGATGGGGCTGGTGAGGTGACAACAATTCTGTGCTGATGTGGTTCCTGAATGCCCTGGGATGAGGCTGTGTGACCCCAGCCCCTCTGTCCCTCCCCAGCTCTTCTGTTCTCATTTCCAAACGTCCCCCAAGGGCTGCAGAGGATGAGCAGGGAAGGGGAAAGCAAAGCAGGATGACCAGCAAAGCAAGGGCACTTCCAAGGGAAAATTTCTTGGCATCTGTCAAAGCTGAGCTCCTGCCTGCTCTTCCCATCAGTTCTCAGCTTTTCTTTCAGCTTTATCCTTTTCCTGCTGCTCCAGAGCTCTCCCAAAGTGCCCAGCTGAAGGACCTGCCTGCAGGACCCTCAGGAAACCTGCCAGGCAGGAGCCAGCCCATGGGACCCACACAGGACACTGATCCCTCCTCAGGTGGGTGAGCAGAAAGGGATTTGTGTCCTCTGACCTGTCTCAGCAGGGATAAAAGCAGTGCTAGTAGAAGGAATAATAAAATCCATTAAAAAAGCTTTGGGCTGCTGGCTCTCTGACCATAGAGGTACTAAAAATACCTCATTCCTGAGACCATCCATATTGTACAAACCCTAAAAGACTAGATTCTCTTCCTAGAAAATTGAAAAAAGTTTAAAATCCATTGGTATCAACTCCTTCACCTTCACCAAACCTTTAAAACCCCCCCAGGTGGGCTGAGGGAGGGAGGGGACGAGGGGCAGGGACCTTTCCATGCCCATCCCAGTCCAGTTTCACAGGACACCCCAGGATTGGGGAGGTTATCAGTGTCCCCTGAATGTGCTCCAGCCCCCCGATCTCCCACCTCCCACAGGACACAGCAGCTGGAGTGAGGGAATGGGAATGGGGGACACAAACACTGGAGCTGCTCCCAGCAGGTTCTCCCTGCCCTGTGCTGGGCTACAACTCCACATCCCAGCATGGAGAGGTTGTGGGAATGTCCATGGCAAAGGCAGTGCCCAGCTGTGCCCGAGCCCCAGGACAGGCATGGAAAGCTTTGGGGTCACTTTGGAAGCTGGAATGTGACACTGACTCTGCTGCTGAGGCCCGGCATTGGGAAAGGGACATCCCGTGACCAGAATGATGCTGGACATTACAAAACAACCCCACCTCAACCACTCCTAAAACCCACGCGACGCCAGCCCCAGCAGCGAGGGAAGCCATACAGGGAGTGAGTGCAGTGTGGAGGCAGCGCTGGGCTCTGTGGGGATGGAGCTGGAAATGCAGGAATGTGCTTTGTGCTCACTCCAGAGCCCACTCAGCCAACCACTGCTCGCACCGCGCCCGCTGCTCCTCCGTCTCCTCCCTCCTGCCTTCACCCCCTGCTTCCTCCTCTCCGGCAGCTTCCCGGCACTCCTCTTCCTCCTCCTCTTCCTCTTTCTGCGTTCCCTTGTCCTTCAGCTCCTGGATGACGTCCTCCAGCCGCTGGGTGACGCGCTGGGGCACCCACTTGCTGTCCATGGTGGTGACGAAGGGGTCGGGGGCGCACACCTCGATCAGCTCCTTGCCGGTGGGAATGCGCAGGTAGTAGGCGTGGAGCATCATCCTGTAGGGATTGCTGTCCTGCCGGTGGCTGTAGGTGAAGTCCCCCACGATGGGGTGGCCGATGGCGCTGCAGTGAACCCGGAGCTGGTGAGTCCTGCCTGAGGGGAGAGCGGGAATCAATCAAGGACAGGGAATTCCTGAATCTTTCCTTCAGGGCGTGGTGACAATACACCTAATGGCATTTGTGCCCCTGAGCACGGCAGCTCTCAGCTTCCCTCATCCCTCTGGCTCTGCTCAGAGCTGTCCCTGTCCCCACCTGTGAGTGGCTGCAGCAGCACTTTGGTGACGGGGTCTCCGCTGTAGGATCCATGCTCCAGCACCATCAGCTCCGACTGGCACGGCTTGGGATTCTCACAGCCTGCAAGGAGATGCACAGGGGGTTTGTGACGCCCCACACATCGCTGGGGGTGTGGGCAGGGCAGGGTGAAGGGGCTGCTCACCCTCTGTGCCCTCGATGCACATCATGTGGGTCATGCCCTCCGTGGTGTTCTTCCCGATGGCGTAGCTGATCGTCATCCTGCTCTGGCTCACGTGGCCCCTCACCTGGGGACAGGAGTGTGCAAACTGAGCCCCTGCTCCTCACCCACCCCCATCACAGGAACCGTGGATTCACACAAAGGTTGGGCTTGGAAGGACCTTAAAGCCCGGCCATTTCCCCAAGCCCAGCTCCTTGCTGGGGGCAGGGACACCTCACACTGTCCCAGGGTGCTCCCAGCCCCATCCAAGCTGGCTTTGGACACTTCCAGGGATCCAGGGGCAGCCACACCTAACCTAACACCATCCTCTGGCAGTGGGAAGCCATTCCTTATGTCCTGTGCCTCCATGCCCTCATCCAAATCTCTCTTGGAGCCCCTTTAGGCTCCAACTCTGAATCTTTCTCTTCTCCAGCTGAACACCCCCAACTCCCTGAGCTTTCCCTCAGGGCAGAGTTGTCCAGGAACACCAGGAGGTGGCAGGGAGGGCTCACCAGGGCCAGGTAGGCTTTGGTCACCAGGCGCTCCTTGAAGCACTTGTAGGCACTTCCAGCTGCCGCTTTGTTGAGTGCCACACACAGGGCCCCGCTGGTGGAGAAATCCAGCTGGTGGCAGAACCTGGCGAGGACACGGGGGTAAAGGATTATCCTGGGCACGTCAGGAGTGTCCCCAGCAGAGGGCAGAGCCGGGCTCGGTGCCCAGGTGCTCACCTGAAGCCGTAGTAGGTGTCGGGGTCGGCCAGCTCGGGGAAGCGGTGCTTGAGCTGGCTCTGCAGGGTCAGAGTCTCGTACCACATCTTGCTGTCGATGCGCAGGTCCCAGTGCTTGTTGACCACGATGAAGTCGGAGCTCTGGTACAGGATGGACAGGTTGTCGATGGTGCCCGGCTCCATGGCCAGAGCCCTGCGGGGGAGAGAGAGAGGAGAGGGGGAAATGGGATGAGCGGGGTGGGAGGAACCGCCCGGGATGGGCACAGCAGCCTGGGACAGGCAGGGAGCAGGGTCTGGAGATGGGATACCCCAGTGAGGGTGGGATACCCCAGTACGGAATGGAGATGTCCCAGTGCTGCAGAGGTACCTGCAACACCGCTGTCACCCCGCCTGTCCCCAGCCTCACCGCTGTCACATGCGATGCAGCTCCCACAGGCACCGGCGCTACAGCCGCTCCCCAGCCGCCGCCATGGCCGTGTCACAGCGCACGGCTCCAACGCTGTCCCGCCATGGGGATGGCGCATCCCCGCGCCGCTGTCACGCGTGGAGGCCCCGCAGCCGAGCCGGGCTGGCTCTGCCCATCCCGACGGCGGCGATCGGCCCGGCCGAGACCGCGGCAGAGGGAACGGGACAGGGGACACGCACGGCGGAGAGGACCCGGGCAGGGCTTAGGGACCCGGGCAGGGATGAAGGGCCCGGACCCGGCTGAGGGGACCCGCGCAGCGCCCACGGGGCCCAGGCCCCGCCTGCTCCCGCTGCGCTTTCCGGCAGCGCTCACATGGCGTCCAATCAGCACCACCCCCGCCGCGTCCGCCCACGCGCCCTGTCCAATCAGCATCGCGTCCGCCCACGCGCCCTGTCCAATCAGCGCCGTGCCCGTCGCGTCCCCCCGGGCGCAGTGTCCAATCAGCGCCGGCTCCGCGGCGCGCGCGGGAGGAAGCGCGGCGGGCGCGGGGCCGGTGGTGGCGGCGGGGCGGGCGCTGCCCATGGCGGGCACCGAGGTCGGGCCCGAGGATGGGCTGGATGATGGCCCCGATGAGGGCGATAGCTTCTACGAGCGCTTCGCCGCCGAGCTGGAGGTGCTGGCCGAGCTGGGAGGTGAGCGCTGCTGCGGCAGCGGGACGGGAGGCGGAGGGAGAGATGGATGGAGCGGGCAGGACCGTGCTTTGCGCGCCCGCCCCGCCGCGGGTCCACTCCGGTGACCGGCACCGTGATCCGACCCCTTTGCAGATGAACCATCCCCACCCGCCGGCACCAAAACCTCCCAGTTCCGAGGCAAGAGGCAGCAGCCGGAGGAGCCCGACTCCACCGGGGACTCTCCCGGCGACTCCAGCGCCAAGGACAGGGACCGGGGCTGTGTCCCCGCCGTGTCCCCGGCAGCATCCGAGCCCCGCAGTAGGTTTGACCCGGTTCCCCGGGTGCTGCTGACCCCTGTCCCGCCGGCCCGAGCGGTGCCGGGTACCAGAGCATCCCCCGGGTACCGGAGCGTTCCCCGGGTACCGGAGCGTCCCCCGGGTACCAGCGGCTGTCAGTGATGCTCTGCCCTTGCTGCAGCCCCGAAGCCGAAGCGGCAGCGCCTGGAAGCTGTTAAGAAGCTCGATTTCGGTGCAGACGATGAGTTGGCTCCCGATGTCTCCTGGGATGGTGGCCCAGAGGCACCTCTGGTTGCCCACAATACCAGGTTGGCCACGCTGAACCCCGTTTTTAACAGGACAGAAGGAAAGTGTCCTTCCTTATTGAAGGGATTTGGTGTTTTCCAGCTCGAACCACCTGGAGATGAGTGGAATGATCCCCCTGCAGACCACACCACCCTTGGAAAAGAAGAAGGTCCTGAGGAGACCCCCAATCCTGGAGGATTACATCAATGTGACATCCACCCAGGGCACCAGGGTGTTCCTGGTGCTGAGGGATGATCCCCGTGGGACAGGGCTGGAGGTGAGCAGGGCTCTGAAGGTCGCGTTTGCCCCTCTGTGACCTGCAGTGGCTCAGGAGGGCTCTGCCTGTGCCGTGTCCTTGCAGCTCCCGGATTCCCTGGGCTGGAACGCTCGCAGGCCGCTCCACTTGCTGGGAGTGCCCTTCTCCTACCTGAAGGAGCAGGTGGATGAGGAGGTACCACATCTCCCACACCTTCCCCTGTGCCCCTGCCACTCCTGCTGGCTCCCAAATTCCTGGCCCCCAGCTGTGGATTTGGGGGGTTGTCTCTGATCCCTCCCTGTGTTTGTGCTCAAGCGTCGCAGGCAGGTTCTGGAGGCCTCCCAGCAGCTGACAGAGATCATCAACAGGTGAGATTTGGGGATGGAATCCCTCCCCAATCCCAAATCCAACCACGCTGCTGGATTTGCCTCCCGGCTGCTCTTTCAGGATCAAATTTTGGGGGGGTCCTACAAGCAGAGGAGCCTTTTTGCCCTCATCACCCCCAGCCTGGGGAGTGTGGGTGGAATTCCCACCCTGCCCTGACTCCTGGGGGGGTTTGGGATAAATGAATTCCATCCTGCAGTTGCCTGGGGAGCGAGCCCAGTGCTGAGAGCCCAGATCCCAGCATGGACACAGATCCAGCAGCCGAGGAGGAATCTGCATCCCACTGCCTCTGGGTGGACAAGTTCACACCCCGGCGCTACATAGAGCTGCTCAGTGATGATGTGAGGTGCTGGGACAAGAGGGGGGCTTGGCATGGGTGGGGTCAGCACCTTTGCAGCTCTTCCTTGGTGCCAGGGGGTCAGGAATTGCCTTTGGAAGCACTGTGTCTGTGCTGGGAGCAGTGCTGAGTCCCTGAGAGGGATGACAGGTTTTCATTGGGATGTTCTGGCTGAAGAAACTATGGAACGTGACCAAAATGAGACAAAAAGAAAGACTGGGAAGATTTTAGCCCAGGGGTTGTTGGCTATTTTGAATTTTTTTGGGTAATATTACAAGTTTTGAACGTGCTGGGAGAGGCTGGGAAGTGCTGACAAGACAGAGCAGGGCCAGCAGGGATGGGGCTGGTGTGACTTATCCAGGCTTTCCCTGAGGTTTGGGGGCTGAGCTGGCAAGTGAAGCATTCCCACCTTGTCCCGGGGAGATGGCCTGAGCATCCTCCTCCATGAAGGAGAGCCTTCCTCTGCCCTCAGCTGGATTTTTGGCCAGGCTCCATGGATTTTCCCTGCTCTCCCCCCCTGCAGTACACCAATCGCTGCCTGCTCAAGTGGCTCAAGCTGTGGGACACGGTGGTGTTTGGCAAGGACAAGGCTGGCAAGAAGCCCAAGCCCAACCCTGCAGCTCATCCCCCACTCAGCCATGCCAAGGAACATCCCAACAAATGGAAAACCAAGGTCCAGCTCACTGAGGAGATCCTGGAGGCTGAGCTGGACCAGCACAAGAGACCCAAATACAAGGTGAGCAGGAGGGGATGTGGCTGTTGGGTCCCTCTGCTGCCACCAGCTGAGGAGCAGCGTTGTCCCCTCCGTGGAGGAAGCCCTGCAGGGGTCACCTCCCCTCTCTCTGTGCCACAGGTGGCCCTGCTGTGTGGGCCCCCTGGCCTGGGCAAGACCACGCTGGCCCACGTCATCGCCAGGCACGCGGGGTACAACCCTGTGGAGATGAATGCCAGGTGAGCCCTGAGAGCCCTGAGAGCCCCTGGGTGCCAGGTGAGCCCTGAGAGCCCCTGGGTGCCAGGTGAGCCCATGCCCCACCCACAAACGGGGCCAGGTGGTGCTGTTCCGGGGGTGATGCAGGAGGTGATGGTGGCCTGGGGGTGATGCTTGAAGTGGTGCTTTTCTGGAGGTGATGCTGTTCCAGGGGTGATGCTGGAAGTGATGGCTCCGTGGAGGTGATGCTGTTCTTGGGGTGATGCTGTTGTGGAGGTGATGGGGTGCTGGAGGTGATGGTGCTGCTTTGGAGTTGGTGCTATTCCAGAGGTGATGCTGTGCTGTGATGCTGATGCTGTGGTGATGGTGTTCTGGTGGTGATGGTGAAGGGGATGCTGTTCTTGGGGTGATTCTGGAGGTGATGCTGGTTTTGGGGTGATGCTGTTCTGGAGGTGATAGTGCTGGGGAGGTGATGCTCTTCTAGAGGTGATGCTGTTCTTGGGGTGATGCTTTTCTGGAGATGCTGCTGTTTTTGGGGTGATGCTGTTCTGGAGATGATGCTGTGCTGTGATGGTGCTGTGGAGGTGCTGCTGTTCTGGAGGTGATGGTGAAGGTGATGCTGTTCTTGGGGTGATGCTGGAGGTGCTGCTGTGCTGTGATGGTGATGCTGTTCTGGGGCTGATACTGTCCATGTCCCCATACCCGAGCTCACCTGTCCCCGTGTCCCCTGCAGTGATGACCGCAGCCCCGAGGTGTTCAGGACCCGCATTGAAGCTGCCACCCAGATGAGGTCGGTGCTGGGCTCCCACGAGAGACCCAACTGCCTCATCATCGACGAGATCGACGGCGCGCCCGCGGTGAGCCCACCCCTCAAACACCCCCCTGCTAACACCTCCCCTGCTGCTCCACCAGCAAAAATCCCTCTGTGCCATCCTTGCTGTCCCCACAGGCCTCCATCAATGTGCTGCTGGCCATCATCCAGAGGAAGGACGGCGAGGGCGAGGCGGGCGCGGGGCGGCGGCGGCGGGAGGGGGGGCTCCTGCTCCGCCCCATCATCTGCATCTGCAACGACCAGTGAGTGTCACCTGCCCCTGGGGGGGACGGGGACAGCGACATCGCAGCCTGGCCCCACACACGAGGTGGCTGCTGGTGGGGGCTCTGTTGGAGTGCAGCTCCTCAAGTGCTGGGGTTGGTTTGGGCTCCTCACAAGGAAGGACGTTGTGGAGCTGGAGCGTGTCCAGGGAAGGGAATGAGAATTCCAGGCTGGAGAATTCCTGAGGGAGCTGGGAAGGGGCTGAGCCTGGAGAAAAGGGGGATCAGGGGGGACCTTGTGGCTCTGCACAACTCCCTGACAGGAGGGGACAGCCAGAGGGGTCGGGCTCTGCTCCCAGGGAACAGGGACAGGAGGAGAGGGAACGGCCTCAGGCTGGGCCAGGGGACATCTAGGTGGGATTTTAGGAAAAATTCCTTCATGGAAAGGGCAGCCAAGTATTTATTAGTCCAGGCTGCTCAGGGCAGTGGTGGAGTCTCCATCCCTGGGGGGATTTAAAAGCTGGGACATCATTTCATGGTACCTTGGCAGTGCTGGGGGAACACTTGGACTCAGTGCTCTGGGAGGTTTTTCTCAGCCTAAATAGTTCCAGGATTACGAAGGGAATTCCTTGTGGGGCTCTCAGCCCCATTCCAGGATTAGGAAGGGAATTCCCTGCTGGATTCTCTCAGCCCCGTTCCAGGATTAGGAGGAGAATTCCTGTGTTTCCCTCCCCAGGTTCGTGCCCGCGCTCCGCCCGCTCCGGCAGCAATCCTTCCTGCTCAGCTTCCCCCGCACCGCTCCCTCCCGGCTCGCCCAGCGGCTCAGCGAGGTCTGGGGACACCCAGGGCCCCCCTGTCCCCTGGCTGTGTCCCCTCCGTGCCCCTGAGCCCTGTGCTGCTCCCACAGATCGCTCTCCGGCAGGGAATGCGGGCGGACACGGGAGCGCTGCTGGCGC